GGTTCTCTAAAAAGTATTCACTAAAAATCCACGTCTATGTGTCTAATAGACTTCTACGTAATATTCTTTTAAAATATCTGATGTTCCTCCAAAAAATATTCGTAAAAAATCTCCTGAAATCGCCTGAAAAGCCATTTGGTCTTTTGGGGATATAAAAATATTTTTTTTAATAATCCACGCGATTGGGTCTTTCCACGCCTAATGCTCTGTTGAAGTTCTTAAAATTATTCTTCAAAAATGCAGGCCTTTTAAGTCCACTGGTGCTCTAGGAAATGTTCTTTAAAAATCCATGCATACGACTCTGCTGAAGCTCTAAAAATATTATTTTAAAATCCATGTCTACGACTCTGCTGAAGCTATAAAAAATTGCCTGAAAATCCACGCCTGAGGCTCTGCTGAAGCTCAAAAAATATTATTTTAAAATCCAGGTTTTTAAGTTCACTGGTGCTTTAGGAAATTTTCTTTTAAAAGTCCACGCCTAAGGCTCTACTGAAGCTCTAACAAATATTCTTTAAAATCCACGTCTAAAGCTCTGCCGAAGCTTAAAAAAATATTCTTTAAAAATCCACGCCTAAAGCACTGCTCTAACAAATATTCTTTAAAATCCACGTCTAAAGCTCTGCCGATCATTTAAAAAATATTCTTTAAAAATCAACGCCTAGGGTTCTGCTGAAGCTCTACAGAAATATTCTTTAAAAATCCACACTCGGCTGAAGCTCTAAAAAATATTGTTTACAAATCCACGACTATGTCTCTTTATTATGTCGTCGTAGAACTCACATGACTCCAGAATGTTAATCCTTTTGCATTAAAATCCTTACCAAGCTCTACAATATCATGCTGGTATTTTGTACTGCAAAAATATGTACAACTACAACAATAGCATTGACAACAACAATAATCTGTATGTATCTCGAAAATTCCAATAGCTGCTGCACTTGACACACACAAACAATAGCAATTCGAGTAGGAAGAACACGCAAAAAAAAATAATCATAAACTATGGATCAACTTACCTGCATGCCTGTTGGACGCAAATGTTCATTCACCCAATTGCGAAATGTATTCGCCTGTATTTCCACCCATAAATCCTCATTGCCGCGTATGTTCATACCCTTGGCGGCAGTGCCCTCGGGACTGCGTGCCACTAGGCCGGCATGTGTGATTTTTTGTGTTTCGGTTGTGCCATCGGCATTGTGTTTTAGAAGACCGGCATGGGTTATTTTGGCGCCCTTTAAATCTTTAACATCCATGGTACCCACCATGGTGAATGTGTGTTACTATTTGTTGTAGTTGACCAGGGGGGCTATTATTTTTTTGGTTCTGTACACAATTCCACGAACACAATTTTTTTGATTTTTAATTTTTGGTTAAGACGTTTCGTTTGTTCACTTTTTTTAATCAAATATTTTTATTCAAACTTTTTTCAGCACAAAATTTTCATTCGTTCACTCTGGAAAATAAAAAATATATTTTTTTCAAAATTTTGTTTCAATTTGACACTTCATTTGTGTATTTTTTTAATTGGCAGTTGTGTTACAATTTATCTCACAAATTAACACTTTTCAAGGTACACGATTTTGGATCTCTTAAGCCTTTTGTTTCTTCTTCTTTTTCGTATGCACTTTCGATTTTTTTTAATATTTATGTTTTAATTTTTATAATTCGTTTTTGCCAATCTTTTTTCAAGAACTTTATATTTTTTCTTTATATTATTTAATTAATTTTTTTTTCCAATTAACAAATTTCAATTTCGTTTTCGTGTTTACACATCGATCGTTTCATTCAGACTGAAATACAATGGCAATACAACAAATTTCAGGTGGGTCTCTATGAAATTTTGCAATCGAATAATAACAACAACAAAGCTAACAACAATAACCATCAGCCGTCAACAGACAGCCAACACAACAACAATAACGCAAATTCTACCTACAGACTTGTGGCCAAAACCGACAGCAGTCACAGCGAACAGCGCCAAACCGCAGCAACAACAACAACTTGTGCTCCTCACACACAAAATATGTCAGTTTTAAATCACAGTCACAGTCACCGCCACTATAAGCCATCTCTGCTGTCCAAAACACGCTTAAATTGTATACAATTCAGATTCGCCGATGACGTCAGTTTTGACAGATCATATGCGTGTGAGAGCGTATGGGTGTGTGTGTTTGTGTGGTTGTGCCTGTTTACCAAGCTATGGCGATTTCATTTTCAACCACATCATTTTTTTATTTGGTTTATAAATCATTTTCGCCGTTTTCGCTCTTTTTTAAGCCATCACATAAAAAATGACAATAACAAACACTCACACATACATACAAAAATTTACCAACAACAACAAAATCAGACGCTTGAAATCATCACCTTGTTTTATTCTCTCACCTATAAAACGCCCGCAAAAAATACGATTATTTTGGCTTTGCCAATTTTTATGTAGGCAGCACAACTCTCTGCTACTCTAAAGAGAGAGACAGAAGAGAGGGATTTACTTAAGAAAGCTTTATGGCGCATGTGCAACTTCTCTAGTTGTATGGGGAGCACAGTGGTCTACTAGATATTTTTTATGAATATTTTTAGGGGACTTAGACGTTGATTTTAAAGAATATTTTTTAGAGCTTCAGCAGAGCCATAGGCGTGGATTTTTAAAGAATATTTTTTAGAGCTTCGGCAGAGCCATAGGCAGGATTTTTAAACAAATTGTTTAAGAAATTGAGCAGATCCATAGGCTTGGAATTTTAAGGAAATTTGATGGAGCTTCAGCAGGAGCATATGCGAGGCTTTTTAAAGAATATTTCTCAGAGCTTCAGCAGAGCCCTAGGCGTGGATTTTTAAAGAATATTTCTCAGAGTTTCAGCAGAGCCCTAGGCGTGGATTTTTAAAGAATATTTCTCAGAGCTTTAGCAGAGCCTTAGGCGTGGATTTTTTAAGAATATTTCTCAGAGCTTTAGCAGAGTCTTAGGCGTGGATTTTTAAATAATATTTCTCAGAGCTTCAGCAGAGCCCTAGGCGTGGATTTTTAAAGAATATTTCTTAGAGCTTCAGCAGAGCCTTAGGTGTGGATTTTTAAAGAATATTTCTCAGAGCTTCAGCAGAGCCTTAGGCGTGGATTTTTAAAGAATATTTCTCAAAGCTTCAGCAGAGCCTTAGGCGTGGATTTTTAAAGAATATTTCTCTGAACTTCAGCAGAGCCTTAGGCGTGGCTTTTTAAATAATATTTCTCTGAACTTCAGCAGAGCCTTAGGCGTGGATTTTTAAATAATATTTCTCAGAGCTTCAGCAGAGCCTTAGGCGTGGATTTTTAAAGAATATTTCTCAGAGCTTCAGCAGAGCCTTAGGCGTGGATTTTTAAAGAATATTTCTCAGAGCTTCAGCAGAGCCACAGGCGTGGATTTTTAAAGAATATTTCTCAGAGCTTCAGCAGAGTCTTAGGTGTGGATTTTTAAAGAATATTTCTCAGAGCTTCAGCAGAGCCATAGGCGTGGATTTTAAAAGAATATTTCTAAAAGCTTCTGCAGAGCCTTAGCCGTGGATTTGTAATGAATATTTCTTTGAGTTTCAGAAGAGCCTTAGGCTTGGATTTTTAAAGAATATTTCTCAGAGCTTCAGCAGAGCCTTAGGCGTGGATTTTTAAAGAATATTTCTCAGAGCTTCAGCAGAGCTTTAGGCGTGGATTTTCAAAGAATATTTCTCAGAGCTTCAGCAGAGCCCTAGGCGTGGATTTTTAAAGAATATTTCTCAGAGCTTCAGCAGAGCCCTAGGCGTGGATTTTTAAAGAATATTTCTCAGAGCTTCAGCAGAGCCTTAGGCGTGAATTTTTAAAGAATATTTCTTAGAGCTTCAGCAGAGTCATAGGCGTGGATTTTTAAAGAATATTTTTTAAAGTTTCAGCAGAGCCATAGGCGTGGTTTTTAAAGATTTTTTGAGCTTCAGCAGAGTCTAAAGCTTGGTTTATTTAAGAAAAAATTTTGAGCTTCAACAGAGCCTAAAGCTTGGATTATTTAAGAAAAATTTTTGAGCTTCAACAGAGCCTAAAGCTTGGATTATTAAAGAAAATTTTTTGAGCTTCAGCAGAGCCTTAGACTTGGATTTTTAAAGAATTGTTTTTAGGGCTTCAGCAGAGCCTTAGTCGTGGATTTTTAAAGAATATTTTTTTTAGCTTCAGCAGAACCATAGGCGTAGATTTTTAAAGAATATTTTTAGAGATTCAGCAGATCCATAGGCGTGGCTTTTTTAAGAAGCTTTTTAAAGTTTAGCAGTGACCATAGGCGTGGATTTTTACAGAAGTGTTTTAAAGCTTCAGCAGTGACCATAGGCGTGGATTTTTAAAGAAGTTTTTTAAAGCTTCAGCAGTGACCAGCGATGTGGATTTTTGAAGTGTATTTTCCACCCGAACTTCTCGATTTTTGTGAATGTTTTTAAGAATAATGTTAAAGGACATTTATAGCTATACAAAAAAAACCATTTTGCATCTTAGTTGTCTCCGTTTTAGAATCAAGACACTATTTGAGATGTCATTCCATATTTGGATTGAAATTTAATACCAGTGGGTTGGTTGCAACATTGTAACATAGGTAACCACTGTTAATGAAAAATCTTGTAAAAGCTTTTGTTGATCCCCCACATACAAGTTTCGACACTCAACAAAGCTACACATGAAGTATGTTGCACCGACCGCAACTAGCTATTCTAAATCGACAGTTTCCTCAAAATTGTATGTACATAAAACAAAAAATTCTCTCATTATTTCTATTTTAAGAAAAAAACATAGTTTCAGATTTTCGTAAAGTATATCATTGTGGCATTATTTATGTTTTGTTTTTTCTACATTGCTTTATTTTCCTCCTCTACGCTAGCAGATTTTTTGTTGCTGCTTAACACACACTCACACAGCAAACTGAAGAAACAAATCTTAAGAAGAAACGAAAATCCAAAAAATAAAAACAACAAGAACAAAAACCTATGTAGGAAGTTGTAATGTCAGTTAATGGAAAAGGTTATTTCGTTGTTGTTTCGCTGTTGTTCTTAACAAATTCTATTCTAACTGATATTCGTTGTTGTTGTGACTGCTACTTTTTGTGTTCCACAAAAACTGACAAGAAAAGAAAATATTTGCTTTACTTAAACTCCATGTGCATAGCCTCAAGTTATGGAAGACACAACAAAATATAGAGCAAAACTTTTTTGTTTGGTGTGCCTTCTTTTTAATTTTTGTTTGCAAATTAAAGAAGAAGAAGAAGTAGAAACGTCAAAAATATCATAATATTTTGTGGAACATCACTTAATTTGGTATGTCGATGGTTTACTTTTTTGCTATGTAGATAGTTATTTTGTTTCTAACGTTTTTGGAATATTTAATTGGCGATTTTGAAATGGGGGTTTGCTTTATTTTTGCTCTGTGCCTATGAGAAAAACTGGTATGGAATATCCAAAAAATGGGCCAGTAATAGATTTGATGAATTTATGAGTATTTTGAAAATGTGTATTTATATAGTTTCAATGAAGTTTTGAGGCTTTTGGGGAATAATTGATAGGGGGATTATTAAAAAAATTCTTTTATCAGAAGGAATTATTGAAGGGGGAACAGGCTTCATTATATTCATACAATGAATGTGTTAATACTACGGGTAGCCTGCAGGAATTCTGCACAACATAATATTTGTCATGTGCAGAGAATGTGAGGCAGAGTACTAAATTTCTAGAACAGCTTTGAGACTAATTGATCCAATTTCATTATTCAGTATTTTGGGAATTAAGGACCCGTTTTTAATCCGAGTTGGTTCTACCAAAAATGTATTATGGTATAGCACGCCATTTATAAAGCTCTCGAGCAATTACAGTTATTTTAAATGATTCAGAATCTACTGCCAAATTTCGTGCAAATCGAAAGATATATAGGGACTTTGGTGCACCATTTACATAAAATCTGACGAAAATATATATGGGAGCTATATCTAAATCTGAACCGATTTTCACAAAACTTAACACACATAATTCTGCACTTATGCCAAATTTTGTGCAAATCGAAGGATATATAGGGGCCTTGGTGCACCATTTACATAAAATCGGACGAAAATATATATGGGAGCTATATCTAACTCGGAACCGATTTTCACGAAACACTGCATACATCATTCTAGACTTAATTCAGTACGATATGCCAAATTTCGTGCAAATCGAATGATATATAGGGACTTTGGTACACCATTTACATTAAATCGGACGAAATTATATATGGGAGCTATATCTAAATCTGAACCGATTTTTCCCAATTTCAATAGGGTTCATC